CTTTCACTGAAACAGCTTCTTGAGGCCACAGATCCACACATCAAACACGGATGTAAAACCCATCTTGCAACTGGAAAAACAGAAGCTCCTCAGTGGCATTATCCAAGTACACAGTACAGCTGATCTGCATGGATATGAAAAGGGGCTTTTCTGCTGTATTGCTCACGTAGCTCATCTGCAGCTTCATTTGTATGCAAAAAGTGTCAGCATGCTCAAAAGGCAATATCTTTTAGGTATTCAGGGCACTGGAGTGGCCAGTCCTGTAGGATGATGACCAAACCCTCACAGATGGGATAACAAAATCTACATTTTCTATCAGAATGAAACAACAAATATGCAATCAAATATATGGCTGATATTTATATGTGATGCTTTTAAACTCTGGGTTTGTAAAACCTGTATTTTTTATGTGTTTCAGAGGTACGGCTATGATGGGTTTGTCCAGCTTCACCATCACTGCAAGGTAAGTCACTATTTCCTCTGCTTTCCTGTGCAGCTACAGACAGGGTGCAGGTGCAGGAGCACTTATGCACTGCACTACTTTGTTGAACACACAGCAGATTCATCCCAGCTGGCGACTGCACCCACCCCGCAGACCTGCCAGGCTGGTCCTGGCTATGTGAGCAGCTGCAGAACTCAGCGAGGTGACACAGCATCAGTCAAGTGATTCGGTTCAAACAGCCGTAACGCAGCCCGATACAGAGCAGCTTGGCAACTTTTAGCCCCAAACATGGGCTGAGCATTTTAGTAACAGCAAAGTATACTTGACAACGAACAGTCTATTCTTCAGAATTAATGCCTAAACTTGGATAAGCAATGAACTTGTGCTTGTGTGCTTCGTATTAAACATCTTAGAGGAGTCCAGGCCTTTTGGATTCACCCAGAACATTTGCAGTAATATCAACTGTCTGCTGCCATCATGTGGCTCAGTTTTGTTAGCAAATGTAAAAGTTACAACATGTGCTTTAAAACCTAACCTAACACAAACCTAATTTCAAAAAGGCTGGGACACAGCATGAAATGTATATAAAAACAGAACGCAGTGATTTGAAAATCTCATAAACCCATATTTGATTTACAGCAGAGCATAGAAAACATATCTACTGCTTAAACTAGGAACACGTACCATTCCTTTTGAATTTGATGGCAGCAACACATCTCAAAAAGGTTAAGAAAGGGGAGATGGGGCCATCTTTTCCACCGTATTTATTTGGTTCGTAAATGTCTGGGAGCTGCTGGACTTTTGGAAGAGGGGTGTTGTCCCATTCTTGTCTGGTGGAGGATTCTAGCTGGGTCTTCTGGCAGTCCCGTGTCTTCTTTTTAGATTTTGATTTCATGTGCAAAATATTTTCAGCTGGTGAAGGTCTGGACTGCAGGTACGGCAGTTCAGGACTCTGACTCTTCTATTCCATGCTGTTGGAATAGACACAGTATGCAGTTTGGCGTTGTCATGCTGAAATATGCAATGACTTCCCAGATTAAAGACGTCATATCAATAGGAGCATATATATGTTCACCTAAAACCTGTATATAGCTTTCAGTATTGATGGTATCTTTCCAGATGTGTAAGCTGGCAATGCCACAGGAACTAATGCACCCCCGTACCATCAGAGATGCAGGTGCTTTAAGTGGGTGTTGAAAACCAGCTGGATGGTCCGTCTCCTTATTAGTCCAGAGGAGGAAAAGGACATTTTTTCCAAAAGGAATTTCAAATTTAAACTAATCCAACCACAGAACAGTTTTCCATATTGCCTCGGTCTATATTAAATGAATGAGGACAAGACTTTTTTGGCTGATGTTCACATATGGCTTCTTCTTTGTATCATAGAGCTTTAACTTGCATTTGTGGATGACACAGTGGCTAGAAGTGTTCCTAAGCCCAAATCACATGCACTGATTTCCATGACAGAATCGCCCCTGTTTTTAATGCAGTGCCACCCGAGGGTCTGAACATCAGTGACATTATCACTGATTTTTTAGTTTTGTCCAGATTCTCTGAATCCTGCTGATATTTTGCACTAAAGATGATTAAATATTTAAGTCGTTGGAATTTATTGTTGAGGAACATTATTCTACTTGTAGACTTCTGAGAAGGTCTTCCTGTCTAAGATGCACATATTTTATGTGAATATGTTTCTGGGATCATTGCAGTCAGTTATTTGCAAGTCTCACAGCATCCCAGCTTTTCAAAAGTAAGGTTGTAACTGACCAATAACACAAAGAAAATCTGTCCAAAGACAATCCAAAGATATTAAAAGAAACTAGAGCTGATAGTGGTCTTAATGTTGTGTTTTAGGGTGAAGCAAAGATGATGAAGGATGGGAAGGTTTTCCGGGTAATACAGGAAAACTGCTGGGATCCAAATGCTCGCATAAAGGACATGGATAAACACGGTACATGCACAGACACAAATGACACAAAGTTTGGTAGTTTCATCCTTTAATCAGTGACTAAAAGCAGCATTTCTTTTCACGGCCTGCAGGTGTCACGCTGCAGGCCCTTTCGACCGTTCCTGTGATGTTCAGTTATTGGGTAAATGCACAGCCAGTCACAGCAGATTTGGTCAAAAGCTGTGTGACAAAGTGGTGTCTACTGTGTGTCAGATAACTGAGTTGTGCATACCACTAAACTTTTGCAATACTACAAGCTGCTTAATGATCTTCACAGATATATTTGTGTATATTCATCGTGTCTTTTGATTGCAGGCTAAGCCTCACGACACACTCGATCTCTGTGTCCTTTTGAATGACGACTTGGCTAAGACAGTGCGTAGCCACCCCAAGAGGTTTGTGGGCCTGGGCACGCTGCCCATGCAGGCCCCTGATTTAGCTGTGATGGAGATGAGGCGCTGTGTGAAGGAGCTAGGCTTCCCTGGGGTCCAGATTGGGTCACATATCAACAACTGGGACCTCAATGCCTCTGAGCTGTATCCCTTCTATGCTGTAAGACTTTACACACTTGCATAATAACATGGGGTTATTGTGATAGTGTTTTTTAATTATGCCTACATTGGTTCCAATCATTTTTCTTTATAATTATGGCCTAATTTCTTATTCATTTCTTATTCTGATAAACACTACAGGAAGCAGAGGAGCTGGGCTGTTCCATATTTGTCCACCCATGGGACATGCAGACAGATGGGAGGATGGCAAAGTATTGGCTACCCTGGCTAGTGGGTGAGGAGGATACTGGAGTGGGAACAGAACATACTGACTATTACATCTGGTCCAGCCAACTAAAAACAACACTAATATTAAAACATGCCAGCTTTCATGTGCTATTTAGTGCATTGTGATGGAAAAATAATAATGTTTATATGTTTTTAAATGTTTTTCTTTCCTTAGGTATGCCATCTGAGACAACCATGGCCATTTGCTCGATGATATTTGGTGGTATCTTTGAGAGATTTCCAAAACTGAAAGTCTGCTTTGCTCATGGAGGTATAAAAAGATAACACCATGCTTATCATTTAGTTTACTATTAATATCACAGCAGTATATAAAAAACACTAGGCAGCCAAATTTTCAATGTATTCTTCCTTCATGCTCTTCCTTTAAGATGAAATAAGTGTGTTGATATTTGACGTTTAGTGCCTGTGTTCACGTGTATCCAGGTGGCTCTTTCCCATT